TGGCAAGTGCCTTTCTGATAACTCTGAAAACAAGATCTGCTGAACACAGATTCCAAGTCTTAGAGTTAAACAGTTAAAATCCTAAGTGCAGAAAATAAATGCAGTAAAGTAAATGACACCGGAGTTTTATAGTGGTTCAAGGAACAACGCGTTCCTCTAGTCCACTGTTCCACTAGCTTTGAGGTAAACGGTTACAAAGCGTAGTCCCTAGCACTTAAGAAGTTCTCCACGCCTTCTTCAAGTCTAGTTGTCACCCGGGATGCAATCCTGCTTCCTGATGACTGGTCCTTTCACTCAGCTTCCCGGAAGTATCACCACTTCACTACTGCAGTTACTCGGACGCCCTTCTTTGCAGAAGATGTTCTGAAAACAGAGTTTTCTCCAACTTGCTTCGTTACAAGAGATATGTAGTTGAAGTTCTTGAAGTGTCGAAGAAATAGGATGAACTTTGCTGTGTGTTGGAATTTGAGATTATGGAAATTAGAATCTTCCCAACGTAAGCTTGTCTTGTTGAAGATTGTAGAATTTGAATCTCAAGAGAGCTTGAATTATGATGAGCAAAAGTTGTAGCAAAGTTATATTCCTGTTCTTCGGTGAGTAGCTTATATACTGGGGTTGTCTGCCCGTTGGAGGAGGAGACAACTGCATTGAATGCACGTACTGTTGACTTGACCGCCGTTTTGGAAGGTTTCTATTTTTATAATATATCTTCCCGGATTCCTTGGTCAATCATTTGCAATCAATCCTTCAGCGTATCAGGCTCATTTAATGTGCATTAAATGCTTTCCTTTCATGCACAGTTTTCTAGCCGTTGGATGTTTTTACCCGTTGGATTCATAGCTGTTGGATGTTGCTTGAAATCTTCTAAGTGTTAGTCGGGCTCTGATCAGGCTCTTCTGATGTGTTGGATTCTGATGGCTTACTGATGAGTTGAGTTCTGATGGCTTTCTGATCTCTGACTGAACTCTAACTCTGACTCTGATAGGTCCGCTGATGAGTACCTCTGATCTGTAACTCTCATCGGTTATCAGATGTCCAATTTATCAGCAACTCTCATGGTGCAACTCTGATGAACTTCTGATAAGAGAACTCTGATGGGGCAGTTCTCACAGAGCAAGTCTGGTCGAGCAGTTCTGATGCACTTCTGATTTGATCCAAAACAGAGCAACTCTGATCGTCGACTACACTAATACTTACAATTGAAAATCCTAATACATAAAATCTAATTGGGGGTACTCTAACTTTCTAATCCTATAGCATCATCAAAATCTAATTACATTTATTCCTTACACGGTTTAACACCATTATTATCAAGAGGATCGGCTAAATCCCTCAAATTTAGCAAATCCTCCATCTGAGGCTTCCACATATTGTAGTTTGTGGAAGTGAGCGCAATCATGGTGTCCGATGATGATTTATCCATAATAAAACGCTCAATATATCTCGTACCTTATTTTCGAAGCCGAATTTGGACAAACCAAGCTCACCGTTGGATCCGGAATGGTCGAAAATGGTAGAAACCGGTCTGACCTCGTCCGAAACCGGTCTGGAAATGGGTGAACCGGCCTCCACAACTTCAAACTGGTTCAGTCCGATTCAGGCAGCAGCCCAGTGTGCTGACACCCAGGCTGGTGACGTGGACACAGCTGGAGCTGACGTGTTGCTGATGCGGTGCTGACGTGGCGTCAGACGTGGCGTCCGGGGATGGCTTGTGCGGATGACGTGGCGCTGACGTGTTGATGACGTGGTCCGACGTGGCAATGCCGTGGCGATGACGTGGCTGCTGACGTGTCTCGTCTTCTTCCTTTGGACTGTGTGATGACGCAGTGATGACGCATGCAGTTTTTGAACGGCGTTTGGGCGGCGCGTACGGACTCTTCCGGTGGAAAAAAAATTCCCAAAAAATACCAGATTTCTCGTATCGACGAGACAAATCTAACGGCATGATCAAATCGTGATTCCGAGCAACTTCAAAAATCACGATTTTCTAACCTGTAGAATTTTTTCTGAAAAAAATGAGAAAACAGTGTATGGAAACTCAACCTCGCTCTGATACTACTTGTTGGGATTGGAAAATTCTTCTATTCAATATCAAGAACAGAATTACAATAGGAGGAGCAAACTCTCACACTCAACTATTACAAAAACCAATCCTCACCAATACACTTCTACTCTAAATGTATTTCACTCTTCACACACCTTTCTCACTTTCTAAAATTGATGATATGAACAACAATAGAACACTCTATTTATAGGCTGGTTTGGAGACAAGGGAAGTTGCATCCAAGCTTCCATAGTTATCTCCATATCTTCACCATGTTCATATGTTGGAGACCTCCTTCCAAGAAGGTGTGAGATGCCTCTTGGCAACTTCCAAGAAAGATGGTGGAAATTCCCTACATTATATTCTTTTTCTTATTATTTTGTTTTTAGAACTATTTTTCCAGTTCTTGATAGAATGATTTCTGGCTTTAGACTCTTAGTACATACGGAGTAGTTTTGTTCTTGATAAAAGTGATAACATTTTTTAATTAGTATAGTAATACTTTGATTTAGAAGTATATATTAAACCTTGTAAAACAAAATGGTGGATGCCCTTGTTGGTCTCCATTTTCAGTGCCTATGTTTTACTTCCCAGAACTTACGTTCCTTAAGGTGTTACATGACCGTTCATTGAGGATAAATTATCATTGATCCATCTAATTAACTCATTGTTGGTTGGCTAATCCAAACAGGTTACCATAACGACTTTTCCAGGAGTACAAATCTTCACTCATGACAAATCTTTATAAACATAACTAAATCTCACTAAATCTTTTATGTCATGTTTACTTAGGTCACTGAATTGTTTCTTTCATGTTTTATTAACTCGCTAATCTCAACGCTGTAATGTCCTTTTTACACCTGATACATGTTAGTTTTGGCTTACAACGGCTCCTTTTAAATGCCCGGCAATCAAAAGCCCCGTACTATGAAGCGTACTTCTAGACATTCAATGAAAGACTTTATTTTCACGTGAAAGAGTAGAATTGGATCTCAAATTTCTTATTTGCATCTTTATGATCTTTTATGACCTGATCAATAAGTTCATACTCCCTCGTCCCAATTGGATGATCCCGTATTTCCTTTCTGGACCGTCTCAAATTGATAGTCCTATTTCCCTTTTTGGAAAGAAATATGTGGTCCACATCATTTCACCTTTTTCTACTCAAATCTCAACCACAACTTTTACCTTTTCAACCACTTCCTTAATCTTTGAGCCCAAAAGAAATGAGATCATCAAATTGGGAACGGAGGGAGTATTATTTTTAGTATTTTGTAATGGACAGTAGTCATCAGCACATGATTGATGATTCTAGCATTTGTCAACAATTTATCTAGTAGAAGAAAAAGGGAGTGTTTGCTACAAATTTAAAAGTGTTTTTCAGTTTTTGGCTTAAAAAAAGTTGAAATGAATATTTTCAAATGACAACTTCTCCATAAATTAAACTCTTGAAAGTTTAAAGTTGGAAGTAGGTAGAAGGATGTTTTAAACTACTTTTCATTTTTTTATTACACAAAAATCACTTATTTTACCAATTACTACCAACCTTTACTTTTTCAGAACCATTTTTTTCTCAAACACTACCAACTTTTACTATTAAGTACTTTCTCCAAAATCACTTTTTGAAGTAGAAAGCAATCGCAAACACTCCCTAAGTTAAGTTTGAATTGGGAAAATGACTAATTTGCAAGTTTAGTTTAATTATACTTGTGAAACTTGTGATTTGTAAGTTGTTATTTATTTCTTTAATCTTCCTCTATTAAATATTAATCACTTCTCGATTCATATATCATATTGATATTGATATTTGAGCATCATTAAGTAATTAATTAGTCAGTGTTTCCATATTGATTTTTACTACATATTATTTTTACTAAAATCGATCAATGAATACACTTGTTACTCACTTGGTCATTTCATTAGTATCCTAATATTTTACTAATGCATGCGTCTCAGTTATCAATCTTAATTGATTTAATTAGATAATCGATATTAATTTGAGCTTGGGCCTCGTAAAAACTTGTTCGGTTCGGGTGGTCTCGGCTTGGAATCGAGACCGGACTGACCTAGGTCCACCCCTAGACAAATCAATTCACGTACTTTATGAGATACTAGTCACCTTGATAAGGAATTAATAACTAATAAAGCAATGAAGGGCTAGGCTTCTAGACAAAGTACACAATTAAGAGGGATTTGGTGGTTTAATTTAATAATTAATTAATGATCATAAAGTATCCAAGTACAAATGGGAGTATATGATTAGTCATGCACTCAACCGGTTCTGGGCCCAGGTCGGGCCTAGGTCCGGCCGGACCAAAAAAAATCTGTCAGGCCCGGGACCGGCCCGGAAGTAGACCGGTGCCAGTCTAGGCTCGGGCCGGGTCCGGTTATAATTTTTTTTTTTGTATTCTTGATTATTTTTATCCCCTACCCCCCATCCCATGCACAAACCCATCTGAAAGACCCATTCCAACCCATTTAAACCCAACCCAAAGCCCCAAACCAAGAAAAATAAATTGGAAAGGCCCAAACCGGGCCCGGAACCGGCCGGGTCGGTTCTCATTTACCTAAGCCTATACCCGATCCGATTACCCACCCCAAACCGGGCTTAGACCCGGAACCGGTTCCCGGGCCGGGCCGGGCCCGCACAGTACCGGGCCGGGTGGCCCGAACCCGGTCTAAGCGTATATATGATTGTTCTAGACTTCTAGGGTTCAATATATTCCCTAGAAAATCAAACCAAGTAGAAAAGAGGCGAGGGCCCAAGGTGTATGACTGGGTATATAGACCCATCAAATATGGGCACAGATTATGACACGAAAAATGTTCTGTTTGAGCAAATTAATCATACTCGAGCCCGGCCTTTGGTACATATTTTTCCTTGCCAAAATGCCAAATACTATGTATAATGTTATCAGGAGTTAGCATATCAAGCGATACTCTTTTGGAAGGGATATGGCATGGCGTTAGGCACAGAATTTATAGGGCGGAAAATTCACTGCCAATTTTGGCACGTATAAGGATCCCTTGCATATTTGGTTCTAAGACTCTCAAGAACTAGAGGATAATATACCTACAGTGCATAGCATGCACTCTACAATTGCACATGCTACAAGTCATACAACGATCTGATTGAAATATTAATAACAATCAAACTTCAATATACAACCATTCAAGCCCAGATCATTCACGAAATGATGTTTCATTCAATATGTACCGGCTACCGCACCTACTTCAATTCCCAAGGAAGACGGTTGTGAGAACAGATTCAGTCTGTAATGATGCCTTCAGCAACTTCAGTCCCTGCAACAAGAGAGTGCATGTTTTGACATGATACAACATGATGTTTTCTAATTGGAATGATTTTGGGAAAATTTACGATGTTTTTCTCCTATTTGGGGATATTTTTTGGATAGAGTGAATATATTATCAATATTACTACTTAAATTTAATACTAGTATAGAGTATGATTCAATTAATCTTGTATCTTGTTTGTTTAGGGCTAGTATAATCTTGTATAGTTGAGCATGAGAATGAAGATTTACTTAAGGGAAAATTATGATTACCAATTTTGATTTGGTCATAAATACTTGTCCAACCCTGTACTTTTAAAACTCAATTATATACCCCTTGGGCTTTGATTTCTGTTTAAAATCCCCATTCCCTTAATTTTCAGTCATTTGCCTCTTAATCATGAGAAGTATTGTCTTGCCTTCTATAAAAACTGAACCGTAACACAAGGATTTAAAGCCCCTCCTCCGCGCCCTCGCAAACCTTGGTTATATTCTTCTATGCCTTCCTCTGTTTCTTTACTTTTGCTCCAATGCTCATCATTGGGCCAATTATAATACATAGTATAAAACAAGAGCTTAAACTTCCAAGCAGCACGTAGCCACGTATACAAACAGAACCTATTGAGATGCACCTTATAGACTTCTGCAAAATGCGTAATAGAACAGCTACATTTGGGTCCGAGAAGACAAATTTTGTTTCTAGAGATGCCAAAGGGGCGGAGATGGCCGCAATTATTTCCAGCTCCCTTAGCTTTAGGCATTTTCGAAACAATTTTTTTGGCAAAGGCATTTCCGAAACAACTAAAACAATTGAAAAATAACAGTGCAGCCCTTCGCCTAAACAAAAGTGAAATCTTGCGACTTAGTCACTTGGAGAATTCCAGCGAAAAAGGAGAAGGCTAAAGAGCCATAGGGGCAAAAGTTGTCAATAATTGCCTTCTAAGAGTAAAGATTGAACTGATAATTATGAAAGGATTAGGTTGGTAATCATAATTTTCCCTTTTCTTAATTCTCCAACTACCAATTTCTTAGAATGTACGTAGTTAATTAAATGAAACTTCAATGTCTAGAACAGTTCAGGGCAATAGCTACTTATATTAGTTTTATACTCCCTTCGTCCCAAATTGAATTGGGAATATGACTTTTTGGAGTCGAACAGATTCATTTTATTAACTTAATTAAGATATCAATTCTTAATTAAATTTTGATTTGGATTTTGCAACTTTACAGAGATCCTAATTTGTTTTTAAATATGTAGACTTTAATTATTAAAATTAATTTAATTATCAATAGGGACTAGGGAGGATGATTTGAGTTTAACATTTGTTGTTGACAAAAAATGTTGAGACTTTGAAAAACAAATTGGGAAGAAGACCGAAATACATACATATATACATATATAGGGCCTGAAAACAGTATAAGTACATACCACATCAGCTTCCAAGTGAACAACCTTGACCTCAAGAGACCCAAAGTCTTTAACGTTGTTTTCATTGAGTGTGGTTATCGCAGTGATGGTAGACTGAGGCATCACCTTCAAGTCATCCATCACCATATAACTCACAACCCCTCTCACAAACCCACCGCCTTCGTCCCCAGAATAAGACACCGACCCCACCTTCTTTACCGGAGAGACGTAAATCGCCACGGTGCTCATAGCGCGATTGCACCCGGGACAATTAGTATTCCCTTCATCGGAGTAATATATAGTATTGCGGTTCCGACAAACAACATTACTGCCGCTGACCACACTGCAAACATAAAGCTTCTTGGTCTCCGTTGAGTTAGCGCCACCGTAGTCGGCCGGCATGAGGAGTGGAACATCAGGAGAGAGAAACGGCACTTTAGGGTTCAAGAAGGAATCCTTATTCGTGCCTGGCTGCAAGTAGGTGTCGCTCAGTCCAGCGATACTGCCGTAGACGTTTCCGAGTGCCCCCACCATGGATTCCTGTGATATGAGTTTGATGACGGTGCCCAGAGGCAAGGACATGAGGTAGAACAAGAAATCCACGAACGGTTTTTCTGCTTCCGCAAAAACGACTCTTTGGGCCTTCGTGTCGATGAGCAGCTTCAAACTCACGGCTTTTGGGGTGGCGGCAGCCATTATTGGGCGGCCTCAGAGAAAGTAAGCGCGGAGAACGGCAAATAAATGAAGGGTGTGACGCACGCAGCCCTAATTTTATTGATTCGCTATATTATGCACGGGCTGAATTTACTGCACAAATCCATTTGTCTATTATTTAATGAAATATACAGAGTGCCTAAATACAAAATTCAGTAGATTCAGTCAATCCAATTATCTATAATAATACGGAGTATAAAGTAACAAGGTGTGACACCTTGCTTTTTCCTCTAAGTAGACATTTAATGGTTTATAATGTCTACTTAACGGTTTATTTTTTTAATGGTTCATACCCTTTAAAAAATAAGAGTTACATGAATATTGGAGTAATTGGAATATTTTCAATTCAAAATAATCTATAATGATGATGATAGATAATAATAATTATTTTTATTATAATATAATAATAGTGATACATAATTGGCAGGTCTTCACTTAACGCAAGGAAATAAATCAGAACGTTTACAATATCTATAATAATCTATAACAATATAAAGTAACAAGGTGTGACACCTTGCTTTTTCCTCTAAGTAGACATTTAATGCTTCATACCCTTTAAAAAATAAGAGTTACATGAATATTGGAGTAATTGGAATATTTTCAATTCAAAATAATCTATAATGATGATGAAGATAATAATAATTATTTTTATTATAATATACTAATAGTGATACATAATTGGCTGGACTTTACTTAACACAAAGAAAAAAACAAAACGTTTACAATATTTTGATTTAAATGTTATCAATTATAAGCTAGAGCACACTAGATTAAAAGAAACTACACCAAATCAGATCAAATTTAAATACAATAGATACTTGATCAGATCAGAATAAGTTAGTAAAATATACATACATCCGACACTTACCAGACCAGATCAGTTTAGGTCATCAGACCAAATTTAAGCAGACCCGATCATAAAACTTTAGTCTAATTAAAAACATCATTGTTATTGTCATGCAGTACAGTAATAGTTATATTATTGATAACAATAGTTTTCTATAATAAGGTGTAGCTTGCGTTTCCATATTTAATGATTTCATACTCATTTTCTCTAAACAATCATGTGTAAATTAATAGTTAGCAATTAGTAATTATAATGTGAAAATTTTGATTTTTAAAGTTATACTATCAATTAATGTTTTTGCTTATTGAATTGGATGTTTATAAAAGATTGATCAGTAACATTTTTAGCGTTCTTCAATTGCATGAATCCTTTGTTATTACTCCCTCCGTCTAGTTAAGATTGTCCCATTTTTCCTTTTGAGGGAGTCCCACTAAGATTGTCTCATACCAAATTTGGTAAAGTTTGTGTGGATCTAAATCATTCGTACTTTATCAATCACAAAAACTCACTTTTCTTAATAACTGTGTCACCTCCTCATGCCCCAATGTTAGTGGTACGGAGGTAGTATATTTTATAAACACAAATACGTAACAAACTAATTATATATCTAATAAAAAGTATTTTTATTATTACGAAGTGATCCCAACTTTATCCAACTTTGTGCTTTGAAAAATTCATTCCAAATTTTTAACATATGTAAATCCGAGTTAGTTAAATTATTCATTAGATTTCCACGCTCATCTAATGACATAGTTAAACATATAACATATGTATCCCGTGCAACGCACAGGTAAAAAATCTAGTTTAATTAAAACTTCATCGATCAATTTCAACAGATTAAACTTAATCATTCAATTTCAATCTTATCAAATAACTCTAAAATCTAAATTACGCATAATTCACCATTTTCATTTAGGCACAGACAAGGATTCCTTGCACATTTTGGTTCTAAGACTTTAGAACTAGAAGATAATAGTTCAATGCATAGGATGCACGCTATATGTAATTGCGCATGATACAACACTTGATTGAAAATTATAAATTACGTAGTAATTGTCAAACTTGAGTATACAACAATTCAAGCTCAAAGCAAAGTATGAAAATTGTCCTAAATATGAGTAAATAATTATAGGAATTCCAAAATAGAATTATTATGTTTTTCTTTTTAAAATATGAATGTTACTATAATGATTCAAAAATATTATCACTAATTATAATAAATTCTTTCACGTTTTGTTGAATGCATAATACTGCAACTATTTGACATTCATGACTAAAAGATAGAAGTAAATACTGATATTTTAGTTCTATTTTGAGAAGAAAAACACAATAAGTTGGATTTTCAAATTTATTGGTTTAGACAGAATAGGGTTTTGTAACTTTTTATAAATGTCTTGAAATATTATACGGAGTATATTATTATAATTATTATGTGTGTCATTTTAGATAGAAAAGAGTTCTACAAATTTTTCGTAATATTAGGTCTATTTTAAATTTTCGTCCCTGGACCTTCTAACATACAGGGCCGCCCCTGATAATTGGGGCCCCAAATTTTAGTGGCCTTTGTTCCAGATGACCTATTGAACTTGCTAAAAAAACGGCCATGTGTAACTCAAGTTGGGACGGAGGGATTACTATATAGATATTATTATATACTTTTTTGGAGTAGTATATATTTAGAAACAATGAAAAAGTAATACCATACTCTTTTCGATCGTTTCTTCTCTATGCAAAAACAAAAAATATATATGTACAGTTATATAACACATCAGAGTAATAATTTCATTATAATAGTAAACACTAAATAAGATTATAAATGTTGAGAAATGATTCAGATGAGATCAAAAAATTCATATCAAATTCGAAAGATTAATATCAGATGAAGTTCAAGACAAATCAGATCTTAAAAGAATCAGATGCATGCAAGCGAATGAAACTACTTGTAAATCACCATGATTCTCTATTGAGATTTTTAGGTCCATCAATTTACCTTCTATGTGTACTCCTACGAATTTTATGCAGTTACAACACCTCTTAAAAGAACAAATGATTCTGTCTTTACAATTTTTTATTTCCTTTGTCACTTATACTTTTGTCATTTTTTTCTTTTTTATTAGTATAATTTTTTTTCACTTTTCCTTTTTATCAATTAATTAACTTATAATTTCTATTGTTTGTTTCTAATCTTCTCAAACTTCAAACACACAGTGTTTATTTTACTATTCTCCATATTTGTTAAATTATTTGACAAAGTTATAAGTGATAGATCGAGAGAATAGAATATTTTTTGATAACGTCGATAAACGTATTAATGTTGGTTATATTCACATCACATTATCAAATCGTATTCATAACCCGTTTGGTAGTTTATATTTTGAATAGGGAAATCACACTTGTAATTCCTTATCGATCTAATACTCCGTATTGTTTATATCGAAAGTTTTTTTTATCACGTGTTTACTTGGAACAATTACATTTTCATTTTATCTATGTACAAATTCAACCATTGATATGTGTAATTTGCCACACATAAAAAATATAATAAATTCATATTTGGAAGTTAAAATTGAAAAAAAAATTAACATTTGTTTCAAAAATCAAATTTACATACATTATAATTAAAAAAAACATTCAAAAAGGCAAGGAATATGTGAATTAGTGATGAACTTAACAAATCATAATTATTTAAAAATGAATGTAGTATTACTTTGACCATACGAAAAGCCAAGAGGCATTTAATTTAACGCTACAAATTTCCTAATTATAATTGGACGTGGTAGTGGATAACGACTTCCAAAAACGTGGGAACATCCGTGGCTACGTGCGGTACGTGACCCATAAGTTAAAGAGAGAAATTATAGCCTAACTGCGAAAAGGCTATATTACCCTGGTTACTTTTCCGCCACGCATGAATTAACCAGGAATAAAACAATAAATTAATGCAATAATAGGAATTCAAAATTTGGTAAGCGTAATTATTAAGTACAAAAAATTGGGATTTGAGTCATTTGACGATGTGACGTGAGAAGTTTAAGAGTGTTTTCAATGATTTTTTAAGAAAGTGTTTTTCCAACTTTTAGAGCTCATTTGGAAACATTGTTTTTTGGTTTATCAATCACTTTTTATCAAATATGTAACTTTCAATTTTACATGCTAAATTGTAGGGCTGGGACCGGTTCGGTTCTTACTCAAAATGAGTGGAACCGTTATAAAAGTTTTAACTAATGAAATCGGTTCGGTTCCTATATAAAAAATCAAGAACCGTTATGGAACCGAACCGGTAGTAAACGGTTCGGTTCTTCCTTTTACCGGTTCCTAGAATAATTTTTTCTCGTCTAAGAATTAACGCATAATTTACTTTCTACAAACAACATAAACACGTCGAAAATTCAAAACATGAGTATTAAAATTTTATTTGAAGCTCTAATCATTTCAAACATCAAATCTCAAACTTAACTAATGAACTTTGAACACTTAATAGAACAAAAGTGATTTACATTTTCATGTAATAAATGAAACATTAAAAATCGTTGTAGTGTCGGAGCGATGAAGGTTACTAATCATCATAGTAGCAAGAATAGGACGCCTACTTCAAGTCTTTGAGAACATAAAAAAAGACATTGAGTTTGCAAGTATAGATATAAAAAAACATTATTACATTCTATTGATTCATAATAAATCTAATAATTAGAAATATCATGAAAATAGTAAAGTAAAATATGTGCAATCAACTACAAGTTATTTGGGTTATTTTATATTTATAAAATTTATGTGATGGAACAAAACTTGATTTGTAGAAAGGAGTTTAATGTATTATATCAACCTCATGTACAATATTTATTACTTCTTTTCTGTTGATTACATTAGAATTGTTAGTTAAATATCTTATATTGTTTTATTGTTGTTGTTGTTGTGGTGGTGGTGGTTATTATTGCTCTTATTATTATCATCATCATCATCATCAACAACATCATCATCATCATCATCATCATCATCATCATTGTTACTACTACTACTACTAATATTATTTTATATTTTATTTTTTTAATAACGGTTCCTTAACGGTTCTATGCACATTATTTTTATAGGAACCGGGAACCGAACCGTTATAACTCGCTTCGGTTCGGTTCCTACAAATGAGGCATTAATTGTTAACGGTTCGGTTCCTAGATGTTGTTAACGGTTCGGTTCCAATCGGTTCTACGGTTCCCGGTTCCAAAATCCCACCCCTACTAAATTGTGTAATAATAAGAAAAGTCAGGATGAAGTTACTTTTTAGACTGTATTGGCTGATACTAATGTAAAGGATAATTTTAACTATTTTTCATATAACTTTTCTTTATTTTATAATATATAGAAGTAGTCATTTTGGCCATTTTTTATCATAACTTCATAAATTTCAACAGAATTAGCTGATTTTAGTCTTACTAAACAGGCTCCAAGTTTTAAATGTTTTCAAGTGATAGCTCATACTTAAATTAAGCACTTTTTTGGACAGTACTTAAATTAAGCACTTGAAATTTACTTTCTAAAAGAGTGGTCTAAACTTTAAACTGTTTTTCTTTATTCAATTAGATACTCGGTACTAAACGTACAATTTCTCTATATTCATTTTAAAAAATACTCCGTATTTTTTAAGTGGACATAATCGCGAACACTGTCCAAGTGGCAAAGTATAAAAAATTCATGAGTAGATTGGGAAAGAAGACAAGAAGTGACTCCATAAAGAAATCCAAATTAAAATTAAATGCTTAAGCCGCCATGCATCCACCGACTCTTCAATTCACTCTCTATATAACCACGTACTTCACGAAACCTAATTAAGCCATCAGTTTGTTTCCTTCATTAATTTGTCCAAGAAATAATCACAAGAAAAGACCTAAAATGGGATCATCAGAAGGGAACGGCGTGGACAGCTTTACGGCGGCGTCGCAGCCCTCTCTTTGCGAGGACGGGTGCGGCTTCTTCGGGACGGCGGCCACCAGAGGACGCTGCTCCAAGTGCTACAAGCATCTTCTTGCCACGGAAAAGGACCCACACCCGACGGCGACCACTGCCATGCAAGCAATCGCACCGACGACGGCGCTTCGGCCCAACCTCAGAGTCAGAACCCGACGGCCGGAGAATATTGGATCGGCGGATTCCGGCAGCGCCGAAGACTCGCCGCCTCCGGTGCCGCGCGCGTCGGATAGGTGCTGGAGCTGTAAGAAGAAGGTTCGGACGATGGGGTTCAACTGCAGGTGCGGCTATACGTACTGCGGGTCCCACAGGCATCCCGAGGAGCACGGCTGTTCCTTTGATTTTAAGGGCAACGGCCGACTTCATATTGCCATGGCCAATCCTGCACTCAAGCCAGACAAAATCTTGAGGTTTTGATCAACATCGAGTTTGGAGATCGATCGAGATTTTTTTTATATTTAATCTCTCATTATTCTCCTATGTTTAATTTTTGATGATTTTATTGTTAACAATATCTGATCTGATGATACTCTCCACCTCCTTCGTTTTACGGAGTAATATAACATTAAAATGTTACTGCCGTTTTTTTTTTGAAGAATACTGCGAAATTGTTTGTATGATTCTATGCAATTAGTTGAAAATGTTCGTCTTACCAACTTCAAGAAACAAATAAATGATTCTATGTTTATAAGTATTTTAGATTTTTTATGGATAATATCTATAAGGAGGGGGTGGAATAAAATACATTTATTAACATATACTCCGTATAATATAAAGATAGTATTACAAAATAAAATGATATACCAATATTCATTTATAAAATTCAAAGTTACAAAACTAAATTGCAAGGCAATTAAAACTTAAAACGTCTTTCTTGCATATCACCGAAATCGTTAATAATAGATTTGACACTAACTTACAATTTGTTTTTCAATATACACTAACAAACAATTAGTAAGATGGGCACATATACCAGTACATACAAAAACTGTACCCCTTCTCTATAAAGGAAGTACATACAAAAACATTAGCCTACATGCTACATATAAAACCGCAGCAATAACGTGTTTCAAAAAATATTTTATTATCTTTTGTTGCGGGTGTTACACGAACCGCCACAATTGTGTAAAAGAAATCTGACCGCTGCCTGGCTGCTTCAATTTGGAACGACTTATAATTGTACATAGTAATTTAAAATTAAAATTTAATTACTTTTTGCTTCGGGCCAATGGCGACCACAACAATAAGCTAAGGTCTAAAACTCAGAAAACCCTTCCCCACCCATAAATGCCTTAAAAATCGACTTTTGCAACTATTCGTGTTTTCGTCCGGAATCCGAGCCAAGCAGCTGCCATCTCCGTAGGCAAGCCACCACCGCCTCCACCAGGTAGCCGTGTACACCTCCCCTCCCAGCCGCACTAGTTGCGGCCGGCGTAGTCCACCGACCTCCTGTCACTCGCACCAGTTGCGACCGCCTCAATCCCAGAAGAGTCATCGTACCCACCCTCACAGAACGAAGCTTTGTTGCCTTTTCTTAGGATTTCAAGCATCTTTTATTCTTTTAGCCATCAGGTAATGGTATTCGTTCGTAAATTCATTCTTTTTGCATCGATGTTTTCTATTTTTATCGATTTTGAAATTGGATGTGTTCAAAAATCCCAAACAATAATTACAAAAGTAAAAAATTGATCTGGTGAGTGGCGCATATACCTACATGGTGTAATTTCTTCTACATATGTGTGTAAACAATCTAAAGTAACCCAATATTAATAGGCTACAATTGTAGTCTTTGAGAAAAGTCCTCAAAGAATAATGGAGTTCTTAAGAGCAAAAATTGTACTTCTGTCGGATTCGAAGACTTATTTGACTGATTCCCCAACTGACATTGGTGCTTTATTTAGGCTTGCTTGTCTTGCCAGTTTAATTTACTTGTTCTTAATTTAATATATATATTTCAGAACTTTTCTAGTTGGTTTAACTCACATCTATGCTTTTTTGGGTAAGGAATTATGATCGAATTAATTTTAGGTAGGTTACTAGCTTATTGTTCTAAGTTTGTGGACTTTAACTTACGATTTTGATTGCTTAAAAATTGATCTGCTTTCTTCACAACTGTGGTATCTCTGGTATGTGTTCATTGATTTATATGTGGAAAAAATTGATTTATTAAAAATTGATTCAAGTAACTAAGGGTTTTGTACAAAGTTCTGTCAAATACTTCAATTTTTTACTCACTCTCAGTGTCTTACACTGTGATTAGTTCCAGCTTGAGCAACTAGTGGATGGCTAAGGGTTCTGTCCAGCGTTTCTTTGCTATTTCATATTTTTTCACAAGACACATCACACATCTGATGTTTTTTTAATGAAGATCTAGCTTGTTACATGGGTTCCACAATGTTTAACTAATTTTTTTTATTTGACCATTAAAAACAGGTCTCCATGTTCTTCTTGATTGATTGCCCTGGTGTTGTTTCTGGAAGTAAAGATTCTGAAACGGATGTTGTCTTGAAGGGGGTGGTATGTATGATCCCTTGTCCATTTTATTTTATATTTAATTCAATATATTTTATTAAACTTGTGGAAGAAATATGCTTTTGGTTTTGATGAGCCTAACAAGTAGATTTCATTTGGTTTTAATTAAATTAGATTTGTAATCATTTGGATGTACATCCGGGATGATCTTTTGATGAGCCTAGCAAGTAGATTTGGTTTTTATGGCAGGTTCGTGTGATAACCTGCAAGATGCTTCTGAGCATATGATGGATTTGGATTCTTTTTAAAGGCATCAGGTACGTAGATGACCATTCATGCTTTTTTATAAATGACATGGTGCTATAGTGATATTTGTCTGAGGACCATATATGCTTTTTATGCTTAAGTAAAAATAGATAAAATAAAATTGGCATTTTTAAAATAAGATGTACAGATTTTGGGTATTTACTACAACAAAGTGGGATTTTTTAAATTACAAAAAAGACAAATTTCAAATATACGTAGTATATGTATTCCAACTATTTAATTTATTCTCATCTTGTAAGTTTGTTTAACATTCCTTGATAATATACTTATCTATTAGTTCTAAACCAGTAACTGTTTAGAACTGAACCAGACGCAATTTTTGTTTTGTTTTTGTTTTTTTTTGTTCTGTTTTATGGTTAAAGAAAATGCCACCATCTAATTATAGCTATGTATATTTTTTCCCCTGATTTTGATTGTTGACCACTCTATTTCAATAGGAAGTCATTCACAACTGGAGAGGGAAAAGCTAGAAGAAAGGAAAGGCTCCCGAAGTTGCATTGAATTGGCCTTGTTTTGCTGAACTTATTAGAGAAATTAATAGGAAATATAAGCGGGTCATATGCAACTGATTTTAGTTTACCTTTTATTAATATTTTAATTTCTCATTGTTTTATCCTACTACGTACAATGTTAAGGTGAGAAGATTGTAATTAAAATCTTTTGTTGTTATGCATAGTAAGTAAGGAGTCTATTATTACTCCATAGTAGATATGTATAAGTGTATAACCTTTCAGTGGCTGAGCTGGCACTTATTGAATATGGAATCATCATTGCTCTCATCTTGTTGCTCTCATCTTGTTAGTAGACTTTCTCTTGGACGTGTATTAGTATTCTTTTGTTGCGGTTGTGTTTAGCCGCAGCAATATGTATTTTTTTTATAAAAAAAATTATTACTATTTGCTGCGGTTCTAAACCGCAGCAATTAACTTTGTCCACTTTTTGCTGCTCCCGCAATTGCTGCGGTTCAAAACTGCAGCAAATAGTCAAAAATGACCGCAACAAATAACTATTTTTCTAGTAGTGATGTGCCTGAGTTCATTCTTGAAGATCTCTTGATCTTCACTTATGAACTCACCTCCATGGGCCTGTTGTGCTGCTTCTGCCCCAACTGTTTGCATCTGTATGAGTGCTTGTTTTGCTTCATTGAGTATCTCATGGCTGGTTTCCACATTTTTGGGTAACATGCCTTGTCTTTCAAGTTTTTCCTTTCCAACAAACTGAAAGCTTAGTAACACTCCGTTTAATGTGTTGGTTGTGAGAGCATCAAATGCTGATGTAACAATTTCTACTAATTGTGAAATTGACTTAGGGGCTTGTTGTTCCTTTAATGAGTCAATGGCCCTAATGAAGCCCAAGTCAAGGACATTTAGATCTGGACTGTTAGGGGGATGAAATTGTAACTGTATGTCCCATCCATTTTCAGTTGCACATTTAACAAAATCTTCATCTTTTGTATCAACATGTGGCCTTGCATTGTCGTGCTGAATGATCACTTTTTGTTAATGACATTCATGTAATTTCCATGTTTATGTTTGTGTTTTTAATTAGTTTAGATTGATTATTACTTTGGAAATTACACACTTTTGGTGTAAAAGTTTAGTCTGTAAAATATTTGTAATTTGTTTAGATAAGGTTCATTCTGAGCTCACACAGGTCCAAGAACACTTTAGGGACCAATGGTGAACATCACAAGTGGAAAGAAGGTGCAAAAACTCCAAGAAAAAATGAAGATCCTGATTTTTGGTCTTGTACCCGGTCGGGTATGACCTATACCCGATCGGGTAAGTTGCTGAAAAATCAAATCGGATAAATCTGCGAACAAGGCAACGTGCAGGGAAGATTTTAACCACGATCGAGTGTCTATACCCGATCGGGTAGTCGACATACCCGATCGGGTATGTCCATGTTTTTCCAGCTTCCGCGAAGCAACTGAAGGCCCGGTCGAGTACCCTATATACCCGATCGGGTACACGACCCTGCAAGCCTAAAAAGCCTATAAATACACCCCATTTCCTCCACAATAAATCAGCAATTCACATATACTCTTTAGCTCAGTTTATATTAGTGTTTTCTTTATATTTTCCATCATGTTTAGTCTCCAAATGAGGAGCTAAACTCTTCCATCTTGGTTTTGCTACTTTGAAGCTTAATGAATTTGTAAGTTGTGAGTTATTATCTTTAATCTTCTTCCTTGAATATTAATTCTTCCTTTAAATACTATTTCTATATCAATGTTGGGGAGTGTTACTAAGATGACAATTAGTTAACATCTTGACATTAGTTATAGTAATAGCTATTTCTTCCTCTATGTTAATATTGGGGAGTGTTACTAAGATGACAATTAGTTAACATCTTGATATTAACTATAGTAGGATTCATCTTCTTTAATATTCTTCCTTGAGTATTAATTAATTCCTATTCATATTTCATATTAATATTTTGAACATTACTTAAAGGATCAACTAGTTTTGTTTCATATATTAATTATTACTAGAATCAATCGGTTAATACGCTTGTTATTAATTCGGTTCTCTCAATGGTAGTAAACTTGGGTTGTTAATGCATGCTTCTCATGGTTAATAAGCCAAGGGGAATTAATTATATTGATTAAACCAATAAACCGCTTGTGTTGAGGTTATCAATCTCAATCGTTTTCATCTCAAGTTTATTGCTACTATCAAGTTAATATACGGCGCTTGTTCTATATTGACTCGATAGTAAGTTTTATTAATGAACGCATCTCGTTATTAATAACTACCCTCGATGAACTGGATATACTCCTCGATTGAGTATTCGAGAGGAAGATAGTTAAAGATATAACCGGGATCGACAAACATTTCATTAAGTGGATAAAAGCAA